ATGTTGTAAGGCTCCGGCTATGCACCGTATATATGTGAGTGTATGAAAATGAAAAAATGGAAAATAAAAACCTTTTCAAAAAAAGAGAGAAAGAAATGAAGGAAAAGAAGGAAAATGAAAAAAAGTGGCTTCTGAAATTCTTCGCAGCAGTTCAAATATATTTTGACTTCTCTTTCTAAAGTTCATCATATTGTTATTCTTTCTGTAATCTGATCCTGTTTAATCATCAAAAGCCTAAACCACAAGTTCTCCTTTTTATTACTAAGCAACAAGTCCATAAGAGGTTTCCAGTCATCAATCAATGTAGGAAATATAGGAAAGCAACAATCCAAATAAACAAATAAATAATCCAGAATACTGACAAATTCTAGGAGAAGCAGACCTCACCTTACAACCAGCTTACAATTGTTAAAAAAAATATTCCAAGACTCTTCTTCACTCATAGTTTATATCATCAGTGTTGGAAGGAAAATCCATCTGGTTCAGTTCCAAGCTGGGAGAAAGATGCTGGAAACAACATGGAGGCTGATTGGAAAGAGAGTTTTATTGATGAAGCAGAACCACCAATCACAAGGTGATTCAGAGAAAGCTGACAAAATGGAGTTGAGAGTGTGTGGGTTTTTAAACCTTCTTTGGGCTTTGTATTTGAGCTTCCTGTTCCTGTGCAAGAACATGTCCTTTAATATTCTATTGGCTGTTGTCAGATTCCTATGGGATCCTGTAGGGGTTATGTCAGGGGTGGGTTGCTATCGGCATTACTGTCGGCAAGAATTTTTGCTGGAGGCAAAATTGAGGCTGGAGGTTGATTTATTAAGAGGGTTCATTTATTGATGAAGCAGGACCACCAAGCATGTGTGATTCTGGACAGCTGAACCCCACATGGGTTTTTTTATATCTTCTCTTGGGCTTTGCACTTGAGCTTCCTGTTTCTGTGCAAGAACATGTATTCTATTGGCTTTTGTCAAACCCCCATGGGGCCATGTAGGGGTTAGGTAGGGTCAAAGCTGGCTCTATAGGCAAACTACAAATCCTGAGTGTTTGTCTGAGCTAACTTCAATTGAGGTTTCTGAGGGTTATGCAATGAACGGGTGTTGGGCAATTCCAATTGTGGCTGAGGGCTAATCCTACTTGTGTTGGATCTTGGGTGCGGGTATTTGCTTATGAATACAGCTATCTACCTCTTCATCTCTTAAGTGCTGACCTGCTGTGGGCTATTAAGGAAAGTGGGGGCTGCTTTC